GCAACAGCCCCTCATGTGTTTCAGAAAGTACAGGTAGGAAAATAGTTCTGTGCCCTTTATAGTTAAATGCATATTTTCTACAATGGACAAATCTGCCAAACAGGAACTGAGAGAAGCGAGACTCTAGGATATGTGAATCAAGTGCAGTAACAAAGCCACCATGAAAAACATCACCTGCAGGAAAGAAAAAGGTCTCTAAATGAACAGAAAAACAGGGTTGCTAGGAAAACTAATATTGGTGGAGAGCTAGGGAATAACAGATGCTGAACTACAGCACATTGAGGCCAACAAAAGACATCAGAGTACTGACGGGTAAAAGTTGCCTCTGTAAGATGCTGCCCACTACTTCTGCTGAGCTGAGCACTGAGAGCCCCTGTGCCCTCTGGCCTGGTGGTGTGGGCCCTTCTCCCCAGGGCACTGCCATCCCAGGGCTGCCCAGCAGGGAGGAGCTGCATTCATTCCCACTCTGCAGACGATCCAGAGCCTCTAGGCCCCACACCTTAGCCTCTGGGATTACAGAGAGAGCTCAGCAAAAGCAGTGCCCTGGAGAAAGTGTCGCCTGGAGGCAGCATGAACTGGAGGTCAGAGTGCAGCTCTCCTGGCAACCAGCTCTCACCAGCAGCTTCATCCCAATGGGATCTGCAAGCCAAGCAATCCCTCTCTAACACAGCTTGTGTCTTGATTCTATTCCTTAATGCAAAGGTGAGAATTGCCGGCACCAGCCCAGTCCTCTCTAGTCCAACGCGGGCAGAGCTGGATGGCGTGGGCTCTCCAGCCTGGGCAGGACCCACTGCAGCCAGCACAAAGGAGACCAAGAGAAACACATTTGATTTTCCCTTGGGCTACATCACTCTCTCATCCCCGGTCACTGTGACTGTAGATCAGAGCTTGTGCTACCCCAGGACAAAACGGTTTGATGGGCTCAAGCCAAGGAAAGATCAGAGCAAGATGCAGCTCTGTGAAACAAATCCCCTCGTGTCAACTCCATGTGGTGTGACACAAGCTGTCTGATAGCTGAGCAGTTTCCAGCCACCCTTGGCATCTGTGCTGTACAGGAGCAGGGCACAG